AAAGCCCACATTTACAACAGAAATCTTTTTCAACAATATCCAGACCATAAAGCAGAAGAGTGTTTTGGAGATTTTTCTCTTTTAGATGCGCAGGAAGGATTTATTAAACCTTTGAAGGCATCTTTGATAGGAAAAAAGGACAAAGTGACCAGAAATTGCTACCTGAGATTTCACTTGAAGCAAACATTAAACGCCAAGCTCCCTGGAAAGAAAAAAAAGGCATTTGAAGTGGACTGATGGGATCAAGGTTAAAATGTAGAAGTTATGACTTTGGATTGGTAATACTGGAATTTATTCTTGGATTGGGGTGGTATGATAATGTTTATGGATTTTACTATTATAGAAAATAAATAGACGTAGGTGTTTAATAACAATAGATTAATTGATACTTCAAATGTTGGTAAGAGCCTTGGGATAATACGTGTGTATACATTTCTTTAACTTTGTTTCTATGTAGATCTTACTTTTGGGATTTTTGCTTGCAACTGAAAGAAATGAAATTTTGACTTTGAGATTTGATATTTAGAATCGTTTTTGTTATAGAAATATGGTTCTGTACTGATACTACTAGAGTGAGAGGTTAATGTATTTTCTTACTTATAACTGTACTGAAGAAAGTCAGAAGTTGTTCTTTTCTTATTTTCCATTTCTTTTTCCTCTCCCCCCTTTTCTTCTTTTCTTTCTTCACCACATTTCTTTATCTATTTCTTTCTTTTCTACTTTTCTTTTGATGTCTTTGTATATTTTATTCTTCTTTGAAACTTAATAAAATTCTTATTAAAAAGACAAACATATAATCTAAAAATCTATTAAAACGTCTTTTTTATTGTTAAGTAAACATAAGAAAATAAGAAAATAGATGGTAGATAGATAGATGATAGATAGATGTGAGAAACCTTTCCACCTAACCTACGCTAGTTAACCATACATCTGCACTAAAACAGGAAAACCGGAAGGGGCATTCCTTAGGCCAAAGGTGCCTCCTGTTCATTCCACTGAGAAAGCAGTATGATTGACTGTGGATATTTTTCAGCAATTGTACTGGAAATGCATTTCCAACACATTTAATTGATTGTGTTTTCAAATCAATTCAGCAATCTTGTGCTACATGTGCTACAATTTTGCTGTTTACTAACAAAATAACAAACAATGGAAAGAAAGAAGAAACTAAATAGGTTTCTCTATACGCATTCCTTCCCTATAAAGAACTCAACATGAATGAGAAGAGGGCTGTAAAGCTATAAGGACTTTAGACAAAACCCATTCCACAGTGTGTGCAATTGAGGAAGAACCTCAAGAATGCTGCAGCTTCTTGGTGTACTTTCAATGTGACGCCACGGCCTTTTTGATAACACGTCCAGTGCATTTAATTGATTCTGGTTTTAAATCAATTCAGCAATCTTGTGCCATGTGTGCTACAGTTTTGCTGTTTACGAACAAGTTAACAAACAATGGAAAGGAAGAAGAAACTAAATAGGTCTCCCTATACACATTCCTTCCCTATAAAGAACTGAACATGAAGGAGTATTGATAAGAAATATGTAATCAAGTGAGTTGAGGCACAAGGAATAGGAGGAGGCTCTTGCAAACATAACCCTGGTAGATCTATTTTGTAATAGTGACTACCTCTGTTGTAAATCTAGGTGCTTGCATTTTATTTTTTAGCCATAAATAAATTCAGAGTAACTCAAGGCCCTTTCTGCATCATTCCTAGCAAAGGAGACTCCAGTGGGACGGTGCGTGTGACTCAGCTTTAAGAGTGAGCGTGAGGAGAAACTTCTGAAATTTCTGTCTGCAGACTCTTATCTTGGCCTCAAAGCAGGTAAGAGTTTTGT